TGAGATTTCTACCCACTTGTGACCATAAAAGGGAAAACTGATAAAGACCCTGGAGTTTGGAAATCTGAAGCTGTGGATCTCGTTGTTGTGGATTGACTCCTATTCATGAGAAATTTATATTTCAAAGGACTGAAAACCCAGCAGTTTTCTTAAATGTCAGAATAATCCCGCTGTTATTTAAATACATTAAAAATTCTTTTAACTGGCAAGCAGCAGCCTTGAGAGCCTTCTTATTTCAAATTAATATCATCTAAATGTGAAGACCTCTGCTTTGTGACTAACAAAAACATTTGCGAATATTCCAAGTTAGACAATTTTGCTTTCAGCCAAAAATCAGAAGTTTTTTGAGCCGGGAGAGATGTTTTAGAGACACTAGTTCAACTCCTTCATTTCATAAATCAGTAACTGACGCCTTCTTGAAGGTCAAATGCCTTCCCAAGGTCATAGTTAACTAGTTAGTATAGCACCAGGACCATAATGAGGACTTTCTGACTTCCAAACTTATATATTATTAAATTCCCCCAAATATTACATGAAGCCACCTTTCAAACTATGGAATGTGTAGAAGACTGAGAATGTTATTCTGCCATTGCCACCATCATTATATTTGACTATTAATATACCTACCTGAGCGTGATCCCCTCTGCCTGCTTTTCCTGGCATCCCGTTTTTACTAGAGGGATGGTAAGATTATACATATGCTATGGCACTGGTGCAGTGGTCATTTTTTGGGTAATATTTTGATCCATCTGGCAGCAGATGGTTGTAAATTATAAAATTCCTGAAAGTCACAGCTCTGTGTTTACCATAACCATCCATTACTGGCTACAGAACAGAGGAGCACTAGAGATGGTACCTCTTTGCAAACTCTACCACTGTGATTCCCAAATGCCAAGCCTGAGATGTGGTACTGGTTTGAGATGGGATTTTTCTTGATCTGTGGTAAGGCGAGAAAAACAAAACAGTAAAAAGTTTTTCATAAAATTAATTTTGTTCAATTTAAAGGGAACCTTTTATGCTGAGATTTGTCTTTCCTACTTTTTCTGTGTTAAATGTAGTTTTATGGTATTTATAGTTTAAAATGTCTTTGAGGGCAGCGCTTACAACTGTTTTATTCACTATCATACACTCAATTCCTAGCATAGTGCTTGACATAAATCAGAGACTCAAAAATATTTAGATGAGTGAGTAAAAAGTAAATAACCTTAGTTTGGACATCAGTTTTTTCGGGGAGGCAGGACGGGGGGAAGGATTTTACTAATCCCTGAAATCTAGAAGTCTGATAAATTTCAGATTGTCACTCTTGCGTAGCGATACAAGACATCTAGTGTACTGGATGGAGTGTCCCCCCAAAATTGGCATCTACCTGGAATGCCAGAATATGACCTTATTTGGAAATAGTGTCTTTGCAGATTCAATCAAGTTAAGGTGAGATCATAATGGATTAGAGTGGGCCCTGATCCAAAGACTGGTATCCTTATAAGAAGAAGGATATTTGGACACAGAGACACAGGGAGAAGGCCTTGTGATCTCAGACACCAGAGGGAAGAGATTGCAGTAATGCAGCTCCAAGATAAGGAATGCTGGCAACTACCAGAAACTGGACCAGGCAAGAAAGGATCCCTCCACCCAACCCTCAGCCTTCAGAGGGAGCATGGTCCTGCCAACACCTTGATGTTGGACTTCAGCCTCCAGACTTTGAGAAAATAAATTTCTGTTGTTTGAGCCATCCAGTTCATGGTACTTTGTTATGGAAGCCCTAAGAAACAAATATATCTAGGAGTCCAGCCCAGTGGATTTGGTGGGAAATAGAGGGGAAAAGAGCAGGATTTCTAGGGGTTAAGTGTGTCTCCTACAATCTATTTTGGGGCAAAAAAGAGAATTCCCACACTGATTCTTCAGGGTATAATTAATGACTATAAGTATAGGGGAGTCATCTGGAGGATACTTTTCTATTTTTAGTCATGGAAGATTCAGGGGGAAATGCTTTGGGATGATGTAGGAAGGTTATTTGTTAGACATGAATCTTGATGGAAAGAGGTATTAGGCACTTGCTAAAACCCAAGATGGATTTCTAAAAGCTGGGCGTAAGTCAGTTTTTACAATTAATATATTTTAAATGTATTAATATTATAGGAGCCCAATATTTAAAACAATTTTATGATGAATTCATATAAGAGAAAGAACAAAGAAATATTTATAGCCTAATATATAATTTACACACCTAGATTTTCTTTTGTTTTAAAATTAATTAATTTTAATTTTTGGCTGCGTTGGGTCTTCTTTGATGAGTGCAGGCTTTCTCTAGTTGCAGAGAGCAGGGGCTACTCTTTTGTTGCAGTGGCGGGCTTCTCATTGTGGTGGCTTCTCTTGTTGCAGAGCATGGGCTCTAGGTGCGTGGGCTTCAGTAGTTGTGGCTCATGGGCTCAACAGCTGTGGTTCGCGGGTTCTAGAGCACAGGCTCAGTAGTTGTGGCACATGGGCTTAGTTGCTACGCGGCATGTGGGATCTTCCTGGACCAGGGATCGAACCTGTGCTCCCTGCCTTGGCAGGTGGATTCTTAACCACTGCACCACCAGGGAAGTCCCTAGCTAGATTTTCATATATCCCATTTGCCTGAAACAAGAACCATCTATACGAAAGAAGAAAGTAGGTCAATTTTAACTAAAGCTTAAAAAAAAATTACAATGCCTATATGTAAGCTTTCTTAGGGCAAGTATTTTTGTCTATACTATTTACTGAGTGTAAATGGTGCCTACATATAAAAGCTTAATAAATACTTGTTGAATGAATGTTCCAGGTAATTTATATTGTTACTGGAAGTGGTGGGATTACATGGCCTCTATTTTTTGGTCTAATACTTCATTGCTGTGATAACAAACACATCTCGTTTATTTCTGTGAGGCAGGATGTGAGGAATAAGAAAGAGACAAAGAATTACAGGATAAAAAAGTGTGCACTAAAATCTGAAAAGTTATCAAGCCATATCTATAAAATAGACTACCTAAAATGATAATGGTAATCTAAGCTCTTGATAGAGTTCAGATGATAAGTTTGTGAGGGAAGGGTGAGGCCTTAGAGAGCTGAGAAGGTCTCATCCTGTCAGTGAGTAGGGAACATATGAATTCTGTTTGGTCACCTGGGGCCCATTTAGTGCACTAGAGTACTAATTTGCTAAATGGGTCCCTCATAGTAAAAATGAATGAGTAAATAGTGAGCAATTTAGGGATGGTAAACCACTAGTAGCTCAAGGGATATAGAAATGTGAAACTATAATTATATTCCTTGTTCATAATGTACTAACTAAATGTATTACATTGTATATTGCATCTTTCTGAGTTTATTTCTGGACACAGCTGAGCCCTTTACAATTCAGACTGAAACCAATCCTGCTATCAATTCATGCCTCCATTAAAATTCCAACTGCTTATATTAGAAAAAAAATTCCAAAGATGGTTTCTTTTATCTTGGATCTAAGGATGCAAACAGGATTAACCTAGATGCAAAACACAGCAAGTCAGTTATAAATCACACGGCATAAAATAAACTGTGGCAGTAAATTGAAAATTATGTTCTCTTTTTCTATACTTAGCTGTGAAAATATTTTAACAAGTTGGCTCAGGGTTTGCAACTTTTACATCTGTTGTTTCTTTTCGGGATTATCTTTTAGCATTTGAAGATGTGGTTCTTTTAAAAGTGTGGCTAGTCAGAAATGTGGTATCAGATTGTACATTTGGAACATTTTAAAGGATGGGGGGCATTTGTGAGTTACGTGGTTTCAAGATAGTGGCCTATTCCCGACTCTACTTTTAAGTAGGAGAAGCTGCGATTTCATGGGTATCTAGAAAACATTTGTCCTTAACTGAAATCCTTTTCTTATTCAGAGAAATTGTACGGCGTGGGTTGGCTCAGACGGTCTGGATGATGTTCCATGATACCAGCAAACTCCAAGTACAAGTTTCATTGCCCTTATCATTGTCTATTATTAAAACTCTGAGGTTCCAGTTGATCTGGTGTTCAGGGGACTGTCTATTTTTATGAACTCTCATTTCTTTCTCTCTCTCCTCTCAGCCCCAAGTTTAGTGACTTTACTGAAGGTGTTTGAAGGTGGAACCAGGGATGGATCACACTGTGGATCCTTGGTCTTCTGCTCTCCCCTAAGCTCTGATTTCTATTATTTTGGATACAATGGAATATGACGTGTTTTAGATTATAGACACTATGCCTGAAATAGTTTCTCTGTGTAAAAATTATAATCTGCATTCTCCCCCTGCCCACAAAAAAAGGACCCACGGTTTTTTGTTTTCTTTTTTCTCGGTACGCGGGCCTCTCACTGTTGTGGCCTCTCCCGTTGCGGAGCACAGGCTCCAGACGCGCAGGCTCAGTGGCCATGGCTCACGGGCCCAGCCGCTCCACGGCATGTGGGATCTTCCGGACCGGGGCACGAACCCATGTCCCCTGCATCGGCAGGCGGACTCTCAACCACTGCGCCACCAGGGAAGACCGGACCCACTGTTTTTTGAGGCTGGAATGTACTTCCTTTTTCTTCATGTTGAGATACTTGAACATAATTCATTATTCCCTTTCTCCTCCTAATTTAGTAATCCCTCATACCAAGTCTGGCAGGTGTGTATGAAGACTCTTCAACCCCTCCCCACTCCAATACTCTGTATACTGAATTCTCTGACCAGTGCTTTTTCTTTACGTTTTCCCCCTTGGAGGAGGCTTTTTGGTTACAAATAACGTCAAGGGGTAAATACAGTTCCTAGAGGATAAAAAGGCGAGAGTCGTGGTGATTGTGTAAAACTAAACAACAAGACTCAGAGCTTATTGACACAGTGCTATGATTTCTTAGGATGCAAATGGACATTGGGCCAATGGTGACAGAATTTCTGATTAGAACAAACTTCCCTTGAGTTTGTTACATTAGCTAAATAAAAATAACTCTAGAAAGCAGATATATGAGAATTAATATATATTTCTTTTTTTTTTTTTTTTCGGGAAAGCAGCCTCAGAAGAGGTGGTTTTTCTTTATTGGGAACTCAGATGATCAGAGGTCCTCTGTCTCCAGTGAAATACTGAGGCTGAAGGAACATGCCACAGCACATTCCTTTGCATCCTGTGCTCTCTCCCAAGGTAGAGGGAAACCACAAACACCCACCCTCTAGCCCTCCCCCCTGCCACTCTTAAGGACTTTCCCTAGTACCTCCCAAAAGATGACGCCCACACACACAAAGTTAGGCCTGGCAAAAAGCCAAGCATAGAAAGCCTCAGTAACTCTTCTTGGTGGAACCGAAGCCAGAGAAGCCCATCACAGCTGTCATCTCACCTTCCTCCTCCAATGTCAAGTCCTCCTCCGCCCTCCTTTTCTTCTCCTTCTGTTTCTCTTTCTTGTAGGCTTTGGCCTTTTCCTCCTCTTCTCTGAGTTCCTTCATCCTTTCCTCAAAGTCATAATCCTTCTGCTTCTCTTCCATCTCCTTCTTGTTGACTTCAAAACGTTTCTTCACCTGATCCAAAGTGAGACATTCCACACGCATAGACATACCCAGGTTTCGCTGATGTTTCTTTCCATTACTGTGATCCAGGAAGTTGATGGAGTCTTTCACCACACAGTCACAGACATTGCAATAGTATCCTCCCATCTCAGACTGTGGGGTGGTCTTGGTAATGACGATTGTCTTCCTAAGTTTGGATTCCAGGTCCACCTCGGAGTCCCGATGCCGGAGAAGCTCTCGCGTGACTGGCTGCACTGGTTTTCCATCCTTCTTTTCTCTCTCTTTCGTGAGCCTCTTCTTGGTGAGCTTCTCATATTCATCTTTGTCCCACTTTTGGCGAAAGTCCAAGTTTTTTGTCCCACTGCCCGATGCCATCTTCACTGCGAAGTGAATCTATATTTCTTAATATAGAAAAAATTAAAGAGGTTTATAGGAAATCAGCTAAGGAACTAAAAAATATAAAGAAATGTAAATAGTCCGTGTTTTGGTGCTGAAATTTAACATAGTCTTTGTTTTTTAACCTTATTAAAGTAAGGCTAAATTAAAATACTGTTCATTTCTAGAATAGTTTGTGCTACTCAAGGTACATATGGATTAGGCAGCTGAAATTCATCTTCAAGATCATTACCTCTTTCTCTGCCTCTTTACTTTCTTTCAGAGACTTAGCCTTCAGCAAGTACTCAGCTTCATTTGTTCCAGAAAATTTCATCCAAAGTGAGGTCTCTATTGTTGGACTCCCTAGACTAGGTCAGTTCTCTTGTTTTATTTTTGCTTCCTCCATGGCACCCAGTATTCTCCCCTCGTCCACATCCCTCTCACTTGTTGAACCTCTTTCTTGCTAATCTATAAGCTCTGTGAAGGCAAGGACAGTGTTTGATTTATTCAGTTGCTGTAACAGAGTACCTGGCATATAATATGTTTATAATTATTTGTTAAATTAATTGACTTGACTATCTTATGTCTCTTGGGAGAACTTGCATTCTTCCTAATTTAAAAAGTGTAACTCTGTGCTGTTGATTGAATTGAAATGGAATAAACATTTGTTTCATGAGACTAAGAGGTAATACTTCAAAAGAAAAATATAAAAAATCATTTTCAGGAATTTCAAGAATCAAGATAAATATATATTTTTTGGTCCTGTAATTTCCTCCATTCCTCTTCAATGAAACTGTGTAGATAACCCAAGTACAACTTTCCCTGCCCTTACTAGTTTCTGTTATTTCAGGTACAAGTTCCAGTTTCTCTGTTTCTCTCTCCTTCCTCTTTCCTCAAACCCCTCACCCCCAATTCACCCTCAAGTTTAGTAACTTTGTTGAAGTTAAGGCAGGCCCTGGATAGTATGAAGTTGAAAAAGTCTCAAATGTGAAAATCCAGATTTCTAAAACAATGTGGGGGAATAGTAATTAAATTAAAAATTTTACTAAATTCTTTTAAGTAGTATGCTATTCTAATCTAGCCTACAATATTGTTTCAACTGACAAGAAAGTGCAACTTTTCAGACCACGAATAACACTGTAGCCGTAGAGTATAACTTTTTCTGAATGTTGAAAGAAGAAACAAGGGAAGGCGTTAAGAGAGAACATACAGGACCAGCCCATCTCATATCCCACCGTGTCTCCATTCCAGCGTTTCCTCTACTTTCCATCGCTTTCTGTGTCATTAAGTTACTTCAAACCTTAAGACCAACAGGGAAAAATGAGATCTCAGCCCTTTGCCTTTTTCCTTCTCAGATGTACGAACTGGAGGATCGGGTCGGGGCTGCACGATTTCCACTAAGCACGTTCAATGGGTGGTGGAGGTGAAGACCAAAGGCTGGGGACCTTTGTACCGTTTAGAGTCCCTTCAAAGCCCTCTCTTTCAATTAGCCGGGAAAACGAAAGTCTTCTGGGAAGCGGGAGTGGGCGGGCTAAGTACAAGTTAATGAACAAGAACATTCCCGGGCACGGAGTTCAACAGCAGATGGCAGAATACCCACTGTCCAGGGCACACGGCTGGCTGAAAGGAGGGGCATAGTTTAAGGATCTCTGGGGCTTGTAGTTCACCACGTTTCCTTCGGACAGGCCCGTCCGCGCACTGGAACTACAACTCCCAAGATGCACCGCGCGCATCTGTCGTCTCTGCCTCCCCCTCTCTGAGGCTCGCGCCGGAACCTCCCGGGAAACTGCCCCCCCCAGCCCCGCCCTCGTACGGCGTCCCATTTGTTTACCCTGAAGCCCCGCCTCACCGCCGCCCTCCTGCTCTCCCCTCTTCTGCCTGGAATGCCGTCATGCAGGTGATGCATATTCATGAGGCCCGCAGAGGAGCTCCCGCCCTGCCTGTCTCCCGCCTTCCCGCTGCCGGCGCGTGATTAATATTCAATGAGCCCAGCTACGCGGCGGGTTCGCCGGGGTGAGGCGGGGGAGTGGGCGGGGCTTGTGCTCGGCGCCCGCGACCCGGGCGGGGAGGGCGTGTGTGTGTGTGTGTGGGGGGCGGGGGGGGGGCGGTGGCGGCCAAGCGGGCGGGCGCACGGGATGGAACACCGAGACACCGACGGAATGCTCCGAATTGCCACATAATCCCCTGGAACGGCCGTGCCGAACGTCATTGGCTTCTCCCTTCTCCCCGCGCCGCCGCCGTCTCCCACCTTCGCCTCCCCGCCTCTCTCTCTGCCCGCTGTCTCCGGAGCTGGGGGGGAAGCGCGAAGCCCCACTGCAATGGAGCCCGCCGCCGCGACTACGGCGCAGCGACTCCCAGAGACCAGCAGGGAGGACCGAGCTCCGGCTCCGGCGGCGGCTGCAGCGGCGGCCGCGGCCGCGGCGGCTCTAGCGGCGGCAGTCGGGGACGGCCGGAGCCCGGAGCCCGCGCTGACCCCGGCGGCCCCCAGCGGCGGGGCGCGGGAAGAGGCCCCCGGCGAGGCGCAGCTGGGATTGTTGCCGGGCCGGCCGGGAGGCACGGGTCGCAGGAGGAGGCGCGGCGCCCCCCAGCCCACCGCTGGCGGGGCTGCCCCGGTGTCCGGGGCCGGCGGTTGCGCCAACTCCCTGCTGCTGAGGAGAGGGCGGCTGAAGAGGAATCTGTCCGCGGCCGCCGCTGCCGCCTCGTCGTCCTCGTCCTCGTCGTCGTCCGCCGCTGCCGCCTCGCACTCCCCCGGCGCCACCGGCCTCACCGCCTCCTGCTCGGCCTCGGCTTCGCTGTGCGCCCGGAGCCTGGACAGGAAGACGCTGCTCCTGAAGCACCGGCAGATGCTGCAGCTGCAGCCGTCGGACCGGGACTGGGTGCGGCACCAGCTCGAGCGGGGCTGCGTGCACGTCTTCGACCGCCACATGGCCTCGACCTACCTGCGCCCGGTGCTGTGCACGCTGGACACCACGGCCGGCGAGGTGGCCGCCCGCCTGCTGCAGGTGGGCTACAAGGGCGGCGGCGTGGTAAAGGTGCTGGGCAAGGGGCACCCCGACGCCGGTCCCCGGCTCCCGCCCGCCGAGCCGCGGGACTTGGGGCCGCCACCCGGGAGGAGCGGACTGGCCGCCGTCGGGGGGCCGCAGCGCGCTCCTCCCGCCGACCTGCCGCTGCCCGGCGTCCCGGACGGGTGGGCGCTCCGCGCCTCCCGCGCCAGCCCCGCTCCTTCAGACTCCAGCCTGGGCGAACCGGGCGCCCCGCGGCTCCTGGACGGTGCGGCCGCGGGCCCGGCCTCCGACACCGAGAGCTTCAGCCTGAGCCCCAGCGCCGAGAGCGTGCTGGACCGGTTGGACCCCTACAGCAGCGGCGGCGGCTGCTCATCGTCGTCCGAGGAGCTGGAGGCTGACCTGGCCCCGGCCCGGCCCCCGACGGGGGCTCCGGGACAGCCCCGCCTGCCCCGGCTTGGAGCGGGCGCCCGGCCGTCATCCCCGACGGCCTCCCCGCCTCCGCCGCAGCCGAAAGCCCAGAGGGGCGTCGAGGGCCCAGGCGGCGCGTCCCGCGATCAGCCTCGGGAGGAGAAGGCGGCGGCAGCAGCGGCCCTTGGCCGCCCTCCGTCGACCCAGGATGGGAACGGGGCGACCGAGGAGCAGGCGCCTCCACCGCCCACCCTGTACGTGCAGCTCCACGGAGAGACCACCCGGCGCCTGGAGGCGGACGAGAAGCCGTTGCAGATCCAAAATGACTACCTCTTCCACCTGGGCTTTGGGGAGTTGTGGAGGGTGCAGGAGGAAGGCATGGACTCGGAGATCGGCTGCCTCATCCGCTTCTATGCAGGTAAGGAGATCACCTGCACTTTGACGCGTGGGGAATAAGCACTTCCAGGTCCCGAGAAATGTTTGGCCACCCCGAGAGTCAGCGCGGGTCCTCGGGAGTCTGTTACTTCTCTACAGCTTTCAAGTACCATCTGTGTGATACTAAATTGAGCCGTTTTAAAATCCGCGAGCTTTTGTCATTCTTGGGGGCTCCGAGGTTGGGAAGCAAGCTGGGAGAGGTGGCAGGGCCACCAGGAAGCACAGGGAGCAGGCACTCCTGAAAGAAGCAGTGGTGTCTTTAACAGTGAAGTGCTGCCTTCGGACGTCTGTTCACTGGTTTGTTGGGTTTGAGGCAGTTTGGGATTTCAGGTAAACATCACGTGCACGTGATACCTACAGAGGAAAATGACCTTGAGAAATGCGCTGGAACACCCGCCCTCCGTCTCACTGACCGCGGCCTGCCCTTCCAGCCCGGGAGCTCGCTCCGCATCAGCTGGTGCTACTCGTTTGCCCACTTGGTCCTCGATGGAACCCAGCAGCTGCGGTCCTCTTTAGCGATACTTTTCCTCAGCGCTTTTTGGCTTTATTTCAGTTTCCTCTGTAAGTTTGATTCTTGCGTCAAAAGTGGTTTTGCCTATTTCTTTCTCTCAGTTTCTTACTTCTAGCCTTTATAGCCAGAGCTGCCCATTGCGATGTGACTTGCAATAGGGATATATAGGAATCACAGTACGACTTGAGGGTGATCTAAAATCTTCCTCATTCTTTTTTCATTTCTAGATTAAAGGTCTTAAAAGGAGAGTTAAATCTTCCCCAGATTTACTAAAGTACTAAATTACTTCCCCACCTAGGTTGTATGTGGTGGTGGAAAAATAATCACACTTGTAATTTCATTAATCTGTAGCCATTCTTTCTAACTTAATATGTTTTTGGTCCAGCCTGTGTCCCAGTAGCAGTTTAGTCGGTTTGAATGAAGAAATTACTCACACATTGAGATATGCAAAACTGGTAGCATTCCTGGTGAGATGTTCCTTTACGTTTAATTGAAGTTTTTCTGTAATTCAAGTGGATTTCTGATGGATTTTTACCTCGTAAAGAAAACCATATCATAATACAATAGCATTTGTAGTATCTGAAGATAATATCCCAACCGGATGACAAGCCTTTAAAAGCTTATGGCCTAGAAAATAGGTGATTTTTTTTTTTCATGTAGGAGCAACAGCTATATCATTTTCTCCTGTGGCTCATGTAATTTGTAAAATACTGTTATTTTACAAAAGCAGTAAATGGTAATCACACTTGGAATGAGAATATTTTCTTAACATGAGAATGATAAATGCCCTTATAACCAACCAATTACATTAAAGGAAATATATATAAAGCAAGGGATATATTAAATAAGCAGTATTGGACATATTTCGTATGGAAAGAGCTCTGCATCCTTTCTTTTTCTCATGACTGAATTGTTGATCACAATAAATGTCCATGGGAAGGGTTTTAGGTGTCCTAGTCATGACATTTAAATCTTTGATTCCCCTTGATTGTCTTTTCACATGTGTCTAAAATGTTCTAAGTGGGTGATATATAGTTTTTTTAAAAAAACTTATCTCAGTATAAAGGTGACAAATTATCTTTCTGGTAAATCGCAAATTTCTGGTGTGCTCATTTTAATCTTTTTGTTTCGTTCGTTATGAAAAGCAGGAATTGTTGCTTCATTCTGAACTTATTTGCTTTATTTCTATATGCACAGTATAAATACATATATACCTCTGTGAATATGCTTGTAAAAGTAACTAATTAAATGAGGAAGCCATACAGAGCATCCAACCTGTTCTTGAATATGAAGCTGGTATGCAGGTGTCCTAGAAGGAAGATGCCTGATTGTTAAAAAGATATAACAGTCTTTATGAAGATATTATAAAGATGATATAAAGATGTCTAATTGCTTATTTTATAGCAGGTTGAGCTTATGTTAAGCCTAAGAACATAGCAAACGTCTGTGTTGATATTCATTTGCCATAGAACAAAATTTACTATATAGTGAGTCCACTTGAACTTTTGCAAGGAAGTTTAGTTACTGATGAACAAAAGGGCCTTGTTGTAAGGTGGCCTCACTCATCACCGGAACATTACCAGGACTTCACATGTAGCGCAGGTTTGCACCAAGCTGGAGGAGATTCCTAGAAGTTACCCCTGTGCTGCAGTGGAATGTAGGACACCCAACAGGAAAGTGGCATGTTTTGGTAGTAATTCTTTTCCATAAGAAGAGAATTAACGTTTGTTTTATATGAGATCCTTTGAGGGTGTGTTTTCCACCACATTCGTTTTTATAATGTTACATGTAACTTACTCTTAAATTTATTGCTGTGTATCTTTTTGTTTATCTGTGTATGTGGAGTTGAGGATAGACTAGGAAATTGCTTTTGAAGGCTTTTGAATATTTTCCTATATTTAAATTGAGCTCGTTATCTGTTGTTTATCTAGTTTATCTGTTTATAACTGGAGAAGTTCTTGTCCAGTGGAGAGCTTTCATTCTCTTGAGGTCACCTTTCAGTTGAATTTTAGTATTTATAACCTGGCCTAAGTTATTCTTAAAAGACTTTGAAAGCCATTTGTGGTTGCTTTGAATATTTAAATATTTATTTAGGTAAAGTAAAATGGAATCTTTAATGAGCTAAAAGGCTTTGGACAAAAAGGTACTATCTAATTACAGAGTCGTTGAGAAAAACTTAGTTTGAAAATTGTTGCTCCTCTGAAGCAACCATTCTCTTAGCTAACTTTAAATAAGAAAAAATTTAATTATGGCTCTATCTGAAGTAACTTGTGTGAAGTATTAAGTATATTAGGTACATTAACATTTAATTTTCCTTTAAGATCAGCCATCTTAAATTTTACCTGAGAGTAATTTTAGGTGAAAAAAAATTCAAGAATTTAGGTTACTCGACATAGGTTACAGACTTAAAAACGTTAATGAGGTTATGTTTTGGACTCCCTGGGGGCGTCTGAGTCATTAATCAAGGGCAGTATTAAACTATATTTTTAATATTTTTGACTCACTTCTACTGCCTTTTAGCTTTAGTCATCTGGCTGTTTCAGTTTAAATTGTAATAGTGGGAAATTATGTTGACGGAATGGAGAGTGCACCCACTGTGGCTCGTGAATCTCGGACAAGATATTTTTATGTTTGACTTTTTGGGATTGCTCAGGAGAACGGACTCCTTACCCGCTCATATTCCTTCTCTTTTTCTCTTCTGGGATGATCAAACCTTACATGGTTTCCTACATGGAAACCAAGAAGGGGTGGTTCGGCATTAAGCTGTAATATTGACGAGAAGTCTCTTATTACTATAATTACAGCAGTATTGAGTAACGTGGTATGAACATGTGACACCAGTGTGTGCTTAAGCAGTCCTTTTAAGAACAAAGGGTTTAATTTTATTTTTGTTGCTTTTTGTATTTAAAGTTTATACTTGTTTTTGATGTAAAGTGAGTGCTGTCTTGTCCTTCATAACTGTGGTTTGATAACGTCTATTAATATGTTGGGTTTATTATCTTCAAAAATCTTAAAGAGCTTTCACATAAATTATCTCATTTGTCCTTTCGGAAACATTATTAGGGAGGAGTGGGTGTCAATCCTCTTTTCAGATAAACTGATGCATAGTTTTGATTCTTGCTTGTGGTTTTTCAGTTCTTGGCAGAGCTGAGAAGACAGAGCATGCATATTCTGTTTTACAATTCATATTACTTTCCATGAATCGAAGTTGAATTTCATTTACACTTGAATTTTTCACTTGGTTAAAAGCATTCCGAAAATATTCTATTTTTGTTGGTAATGAGGTGATATTATCCTCTAGTCCAAAGTGGTATTCCTTGTGAAATTTGGTTGGTTCTATTTCTATCATGCTGCCTTTAACATAAAGAAGCAAGACTGGCAAATAAGTGGACAATACAGAAAGAGTACGAAAGTGTTCTAAATATTCTGGTTGTAAATAGTCTTACATGCATTTAAGTTGGCATGAAATAAAGTTCACCTAATGATTCTTTTTTTTCTTACACATGCCTCATTTGTTAAACTGTAAATCTTCATTGGGTATAGAGCATTAGTAACACTTTATCTGAAAAGTGGATAACTTTTGAGGGTAGCGGTGTGACATTTCAGTTCCTTTAAAACATAGCTTTACTTGTAAAGTATCGAAAATAGCTATCATAAAAGGTTTGCATAAACCTTTCATCTTAAAGTAAACTTATTTGTACTTTAGTGATCAGTAGTGCTCTATTGATGTCACCATGCTGTTCATTTTCTATAATTCATGTGTTATATAGAGTTAGAGAGTAAGCTACTCTGCCTGTTTTTATAGCTATTCCTTAAATGGTGTGTTTTTTTATGCTTATTGAAATAATTATAGGGAGAGGAGATGAGTGTAAATGAGTTTATGAAGTTTCTGGGTGAAAGTTTTATCTTTTTGTGGCTATAAGATTGTTAAAACAGCCACCTTAAGTGACTGGTTATCCCAAGATTCTTATTATTTTTTAAAGAGTAAGGTGTTTTTGATTCTCTTTATAGAATGCTGAATTTGATTTCTTGGTAACATAACATTCATTAATGTTGTATATGGTCCAAGACTAGTATAATACTTGGCATTTTAGTTTAAACATTTGTTGAATTGAATTTGCGGAATTTTGTTAAGCAGCTGGTGGTGTATGTCCTGAATCTTCAGCCTTCCTTCCTGTTAGGGTCCCCAGGGGTTGTGTTAAACACACATACACACAGAGGCATTTCTCCCATGGCAGAAGGTTTTAGATGTGCCACACACTGTTAATATCTTCTATTTTCCGTGAGTGGAGCTCTATGTGGATTTTGAGAGAGTTCTCTCTCAAAGGTTTCTTAGAGTTAACAGGTGTTTTTTTTCCCCCCTTTTCAAAGGCATCTCTTACCTAAACTTTAAGATGAATTTAATGAGACATCTGTCAAATGAGGCGTTTTAGATTTAATGATTTTGTTATGTGCCAGGGTTGAACACGGTT